AGCGTTTGTGGGACCTCGGTGGCCGAGCACTTTAATAACAGCGAGGATAGCAAATCAGGCGCAGGAGGAGTAGCAGGGAGAGGTGACCTGTAGGTTGCCGTCAGACAGATCAATTCTTTAAACCTGCAAGAACCGAACCATGGTGCCGGTCTCTGCACACATCTGAGCACACCTTTGCTCAGACCTTTATGCTGTGAGCCTCGCCTCCAAATGCATCATATGACACTGTCGCTGAACTCTGACCGAACCCGGAGTGAGCTATCCTCGAGGTCTCGACAACCTCAGGGTCAGAGTAACCCCTTGAGGTCGGACTCCAACTCCAGGAGAACACTGTTTTTGTCTCGCTGATGAGGAACAAAGAAAGGAATTAGTGACGTGAACATGTAAATTCAGGGCTGACCTCACCTACAACCCGTCTCATTTGTGCCAGTTTGAGCACATTGTCAGGCCATAACACTACCTGTGCATACACACAGAGCAGCTACACATCTGTATAACACCTGTCTCATAAGGGAATGGGCTTGATTACTGCATGAATTCAGAGGAAGGATGTTGTGCTGGGTGCATGTACTCGTAGACGTGTAATGAGCCTCTTAATGAACAGGCCACATTATGCTGATCATGGGTTCAGACTCTGAAAACACGTATGAAAAAAAAAGTCTTTAGATGGGTAAAGACCCACAGTAACACAGAGAGATCCCAACAATCAGACAACCCCTTTGAACAAGCACTTTGGTGACAGTGGAGAAGAAAAAATATCTTTTAACAGGAAGAAACCTCTGGCAGAACCAGAGATTAATAACAACTACTGATTAAATGCAGAGAGGTGTAGGACCATCACATGGTCTCGGCTCTGAGCTGTGCCCTTATTGGATGGACATGTTTGGCTTCTGTGGGCGCCATCTCTGCTGCGTACTTTTTCAGTTTTACTTGAGTAAAGAAGTTGTATCACTACTTCAACTTTAATTACAGTATTTGAAACACTAGTATCTGTACTTCTACTTCAGTCCTGAATGTCAGTACTCTCGTCACTTCTGTTTATCACAGCACTAAAGTTGTTGTTGTCCTCCTCCTCCTCCTCGCTTGTCTTCATCAGATTAAATATAGATTAAATCTCTCTGCATCAGCCTTCGCTGTAGCTGACTTCCTGTTTGATCAGACGTGCCTTTAAAGCGGCGACAGCTCAGTTCAGCCAGAGTTCAGCTGATGCATTAGAATGAACAAATTTTAATGGCAGAACTCGGAGACGGAGAGGAAGACGAGCTGCTCGCTGTCCTCATAGTGACATCACCACGATGCTCAAACACAACCTTTCATCGCTGAGCTGTCAGGAACCTGAAGTCTGCAGCTCAGACTGAGACGTCAAACTGCTGCTCCTCTTCTTCAAAGACTGCTGACGTCAGCACACAGAACACTCTGCAGACTCTGAATGACTCCGATAAATGGTGATGGCGTCCAGCATCAATGCTGAGCCGATCCAAATCACTCCACATCAGAGGCTGGAAGCAGGCTGACTGCCTCACTGTTACGTTTTTATTGTTGCTGGACGTCAAAGGTGAAAGTAGGGCTGGGCAATATGACCGAAAATTCATATCTCGATATTTTTTAGCTGGATGGCGATATAAGATATATATCTCGATATTTTTTTAAAGCCATGAAGTAACAACAAAAAGAGAGCTCTTAGTCAAAGCTGTGTCCCAGATGTCACACAGGAACTTTTATTAACATAAAGCATAGATGTACATGAAAAAAACTACTCAAAAATAAATTATGAGCATTTATTAAAAATAATGCTCCGTAAATAAAAGAAAAGTATGTTGTTTTTGTCCATAACAAAAAGCTCACAATTGTGCAGTCAAAATGTAAACTAAAAGACGCTGAGCATAATAACAAAGACAGATTTCACAGCTGCTCTGTTCCCAAGTTCTACTGTGTGACTGACAGCCTGGAGTTTGAAATCCGCTTCAGGTGCCATTTATGGTCCTTATACACACACAATACGGTAATATTACGTTGAAGCACAGTGCGTATTACTACGCGAGGCTCCTCGGTAGCCGTAATGCTCCGACAATCTATCAAGCGGTGCAGCTCCGTAGCTTACCAAAGTCGTACTAAAACATTTTTTGACAGATTGCTGAGCGCTGTGTTCCACATAAAATCGGTTCACGGTCATCAAGCACAACTAGAATTCATACATAAGGCGGGCTGTCAACTTTTGAGAAAATGAAAGGATTTTAGGCTGTGCAGCCCCTGTGGGCTGCATGTCGTTAGCATGGTTAGCTCATTAGCGTGGTTAGCTCATTAGCACGTTGACGCCATCCAGCCCCACGCACGGAGCGATGCGCAGTAACTCGTTAACGGAGATTTGCCGTGTTCATCTTGTCGCTGCCTGCAGGTGAATCTATGGGGGAGGAGGGGGAGTTGTGTTCAGTGAAGGAGAGGCAAGGCGGAGTAACGTTGCGTAAAGACAAAAGTGGACGAAAGAGAGGCAAACTTGTGGCTCCACAACTATAATTATAACGTATATATCGATATAAAGGATATGGTCACATCTTATATCTCGTATAAAAATATATCGATATTTTTAAAAAACTTGATATATCGCCCAGCCCTAGGTGAAAGTGCTGGTCCAGCCTCAACGATTAAAGACGATCCACACAGAACCAAGAGGAGACACACCTCCACTGTCAGGACTCACCTATACCGTCACTAAAAGGACAGAGGTCAGACTGTATGGAAAGGCAAGAGAGCCGGAGCTGCAGACACATCTGATTAAAATGACAAAAAATATTATATAGTATATAGTACTATAATAATATTATAGTAACGGGTTCGTGTTACCTGTGCAAACCTGTGAATATTCAGTCATAAGCTCCTCCCACATTTCTGACTGACAGGTGTCAGACTAACTGACTAACTCCTGAGATTTGCCTGTTTGTCTGTAACTGCACCACCCGAAGTCTGAACGCACCATCACTCCACCCACCTGTGCTGGACCTTCACCCTGCAGCAGCATCACTGGCTCGTACACTTCCTGGTTCAGATCTGGTTGGTTGTTTGAGGTCAGGGCTGACCTTGGTAACCACTGGTTGTCAAGGCAACATGTAACGACTTGTCAGTGAGACTAAAAGTGTGACACAGACCGGAAACAGAGGATGTTCCCCTTCAAAGTAAAAGCATCAGGATGAGCGATTTCGGAGTGTTCGCTCCCGACTGCCTGTGAAGTTCCACTGTGTGAACGTTCGGGGTGAGCTAACCAATGTAACCTGCAACCGCCACACACAATCAGACTGACGGTTCAGCAGTAGCACCGAGACCATGGCGTGCTTTTACAGCGACTGTAAGTTACTGAAACATCATGTGGTTGTCATCTGTGACACTTCACAGATCTGGATCCCTTTGACATCAGAATCAGAATCTTTTATTAATTTATGAAACAAATGAAAACTTTCACAGATCTTAAATGCAAAGATAAAATGTTACATAATCAAATCTGTAATCTCTGGAGCGGTTCTGCTTATATTAATGATTATTGTGAAATGTTTCCATGTATTTGTACTATTAATTATTAATAATGCTGTTTCCTTGTGTCTTTAAAGCCTAACCAGGGTCCAGGTCTCATATACATATGCACTGATTAAAGCAACGTTAACATATCGCTCCTGTTGTATAAATCAATACAAAAAGGCATCCACCATTTCCAGTTCTTCTTTGTGTAGTGTTAGTAGCGTGTTCCTGCAGATCATGGCAGCAGTCAACGGGTGACCACGGGCTTCGTCTAGCAACCACTTGCCAAACGGTCGGGGCCTGTGTGACTGAGACGTGGACACAGCATGTCTGTCCTCACATGTCCATCTTTAAACCCAGGCCGTGCTCACATCACGGGTCAGCTGTGTTCACAAATATTCATCTCTATGATGGCGGCATCAGACATGCCACACAAATCTCTGCAGTGACACAAAAACCATCAGTGATGCTGAGTGAAATCGTCTCTTTAAACCCAGGTCACAGTTTATAATCAACTGACAGCGAGCGTTTCCACAGCAATCAGGTCAGGTGACAAATGCTAATTAAGAGCCATCAGTGAGGAAGAGTGGAGGAGGTGAGGTTGTTTCCACCTCCTGAACGATGGCTAATTTAGCAGAAACGAACTGATGAAAAGCTTTTTCATCTGTGTTGCCATGGCTGCGTGAAGCCTGGTCAAATGAATTAACAGGAGCCTTTGATTTAGAGCAGGAAGGTTATTACTGAAAGGTAAAGAGAAAAAGTCAAGGAAACAGGGAAACTCCACTGAGCAGGAGACAAACGGACGCTTGGCCTCCGAGATGTGATCGGACAGAGGCCAATGGCTCACATGCCTTCAGAGGGAGCTGTGATCTAATCCTTTCAGGCCCTGCCCACAAACACTGAGCTGAGGCGGAGACTGAAGGTGAGTCTGGTGCAGATCTGTGGCAGTGCAGGTGGAGCTGGTTGGATGTGAACTTAACATAAACAAACACGTTTGCTCAGTCCAGCCTCACGTCCTCTAGTCTGACATTTGTAGACGTTTTACCTCCTCATACTTGACCACTGCCACCGAGGTGTGAAGTCACATGACAGAAAGTGAAATGTCAGGTGTGTGAGAGACCTGGAGATGAGAGGAGCAGAAACTGTCGAGGAGTAGGAGGGGAGGAGGAGGAGGGGAGGAGGGGAGGAGGGCGAGAGGAGGAGGAGGGGAGGACAAGAGGAGGATGGGAAGGATAGGAGGAGGAGAAGGGGTGGAGTAGGAGGAGGCAGGCAGGAGGAGGAGGAGGAGGAGTGTTTCCTGAATGATGATGTCTCTTGTATGGAGGACTTTAAACAGGCGACCTGATGAAGCTGAGCTCTGTTGGGTCAGGTTTGATTTACAGACTGGCCGTATGCTGACGTGTGATTGGTAAGTGCTGCAGTGCAACGAGTCCACCAGCTCAGCCTGGAGCACAAAAAGAGTTCACCAAATAACAAAAACATGAATTGAAATCTTTGAATCTTTATTCATGTTCCTGATGCTGCCTCTGCGCCGACCCACGCACTCCTCTTTTTTTTTTTTTTTACAAATAGTTAGAAAACTGTACAATACAAAAACAAAGAAAAGGAAACAGACGGTTAACACGCCACATCAGCAGAGCGATTTAATCAATTTAAAGAAAAACACGAAACCTGACGAACAAAAACAAGAACATAATGCAGAACGATGCTTCATGCAGCCACTTCAGAAAGAGCCTGAGACGGGAAACGTCTGAATCTGAGTGTGTCAGTTCCTGCTGCACATCACACGTGTGATGGAAATCTGCAATGTGAAATTTTACATCCTCACAGCTGACTCTGAACTTTTATTTTGTATTCTTCAGAGAGTATACTGTGTTTGGAGGTGGGGTCATGTGTGGAGCTCAGAGTTTGATCTTTGCTCTGTCTGAGAAAGCATCTGGGGACAGTTTGGAGTTTCAGAGACATCCTCATGTGGCTGTAGAAGTCGTGGACGAGAAAAGATTCCGATGCGTCATGACAAGCTAACGTTTCAGGGTCCAACAGGAAGTGAGTGTGCATAAACGTGGCCACAGACCATCGATCAGGCAACCACAAGTGACTGACAGTTTATAAGTGGGTGGGGCTTCAGTCAGAGATCTCCAGGTTTTACACATCAGTGCTCTTCTGGACCAGGGGTCTCAAACTTTAATGAGCTGTGGGCCACTCCTGGCACCGTCATCTCATTGGAGGGCCACTTTAGCGTTCAGGTATTAAAAAAGAAACAAAGAAACAAACAAGAAAACACCCACAAATATTTCTGAAAATGTAATATTTTGTTTGTTTTTTTTAAATTTCAGATAGTGTATAACAAGACAAAACTGCAAACGTGAACACAGATTCTTTTCCTCACTCTTAACTAACTAAAGCCTTTCATTGAACTACCAAATAAACACAATGGTCCTCTCTTTCTGGCCAGACACGTGGCAGCACTTCTGCTATCATTTTGTTCGTATTTAACAAAATAAAAATGCAGACATAAGTGTACACATTAGTTTTTGACTGTCTCACTGAACTAACATAGTCAATCTCTTAGTATGTTTGCACTCTCTGCTCATATTGCCATCATATTAAATCATTTTTGGCTTTTTAAAGAACTTATTTTAACATTACACTTAACAACAAACAAATCCTCCCTAACAGAAAAAAACTGCATTATATTTCTTCACGTCAATATACGGACACCCCTGTTCTGGACGCTTCGAATTAAAATGGGCAACTTGCGATCGTCGGTCACGTGATTCGTGATGTCACCTGACCGAGATTCTAGCTTTTATTCAGTGATTTTAAAATTGGATACTGTCAGAACATTGTTCTCTTTCAGAAACACATCCGAGTTGTTATTTACTGAGAGGAGACCATAGTGTTTCAGTGTTTCACGTCCCCTTTAATGTGTGTTTGTATGTCTGTACATCTGTCAGTTAGATACCATTCCTGCTCTGTGGTTCTGGCTGCAGTGCAGATGATGTCATCATGTATGTTGCCACAGATGTTTTACCTGCTGAAACATCTGTTTGAGTCACTGAGAACATGAGCAGGCTGAACTCAGGGTGGACGAGGCGGTTTCCTAAAACCAACTTCAGAGTTGGTTCACTTCAACTCGAGTGCTTAAGTCGTTGAGCGGGATCAAACCCATGGTCCTGCTCTGGGTTCTTCAGGTTTGAGGCTCGGGGTGGAGCTTACAGGTGAACAGAGTCCATGCTGGAGCTGAATCATTTTCCCTAAACTCTGCTGCACAACGGATGAATTCAGCACCATAAAAAACACCACGACAAACAAGCTCACAGAGTCGTTGAGCTTGTGAATAGAAGGCACTTGCAAAGCTGCGTCCTCTGAGGTCTGATCTCCGATCAGCCATTTGCTGCTCTGCTCTGACAGGACGTCTGCTTCAATCTTCCGTCGGTGAGTCAGCGAACCTTTCACACCTCCACCTCCTGACGGCCCCCTTGCGCAGCGTCACCTGCCGTCATCACGGTGATGTCGAAGCAGGTCTCCATCATGAGACGGGACTTGCACAGGTTGACGCAATACTCCAGCTCCCCCGTGGCCTGAGCCAGAGCCTCTAGGTACTCCTGGGACTCGCAGTCCAGGTCCTGGTCCACGTCAACTGCAAACACGGAGAAAGCGGTTAGCTATTTAGATGCATGCGGGCCGACGTTTGTACCATGACATCACCACGCTGCCTCAGCTGCTCGTGCACAGCATCTCTGAACGCTTGGCCCGGTCAGTTAAGTTCAGTTAATGACAAACACATGAAGCTGAACTCTGAGGTTTCTGTGGTTCATCATCACAGAAATATCGCAGCCGGTCACTGATGGCTTTCTAAACGGTGAGTAATCTATTATATGAGTACCAGCTCCCTCCCGCTGCAGCTCATACTCACACTCTCCACTCCACCTGCTCGGGTGGAGCATCAGCCAGCTCTTGGCCTCCTCCAGCTCCGCCTTCAGCCTGTCGTGTTTGCTCTTTAGCTCTTGGATCTGCTGCTGCCGCTTCTCCAGCATCCTCAACCGGGCATTGAAGTAGAGCAGACCCTGAGGAGCGAGCACATAGTCAGAGCCTCGAACTGCACACACCGGCTGGTAGGGGTGTGGACGATGACAAGGAAGAGGAGGGGGGATTAGCACGAGGCTTCGAGACTCCAGCCTGTGTCTGGCTTTAATTAGGAGTCAGTGCAGTGCTAATCTGTGATCAGAGGAGGATTAAGGACAACTGAGGACAAGCAGGTGACAGAGAGGTGGTTCAGACCTGCGCTTCATTACAGCTGCCCCTCAGAGAGCTTTATTCTGAAAATCCTGGGATGTTTCTATTGTGAAAGTCTGTAAATGTGGGCAGCTGAGCAGTAATAAAAGAGTTGATCATCCAGATGATAAGTGACCTGAACATTAACTGTGTGTTTATGTTTCACTTGCAGCAGCTTCTCTGTGACACGCAGCCAAAAAGGCCAGATTGTCAGGTGAAGTCAGACTGACTGACTCCAGTTAGACCATCACAAATTGTTCATGTGGGGCCATGACACAGGCGTGACCAACCTCAGTGAGGCCCATGGGAGGGGAAACCAGTGAAACCAGCGAGTTGCTGATGTAAAGCCAACTCAGGTCTCTGTGTCAGCAGCAAGAAAGCCTTGTTTCATTTGGAGCTACAGGACAAGTTGGGATTTGGGGAAAGCATGCAGGTGTAAAATACACATGAATAGATGCAGCAGGACAGGAAGCACCTCCGACAGGTGAAGCGAGCAGAATGAATCCAGTGTGAACAGGTAAACACAAAAAGCATGACAGGCACAGTGTGTGAGACAAAAGTTTGAGCACAGACAAGCGACACCACACGGCCTCCATGTTGGCGTCTCTACACCGGCCGCCAGTCAGACCGGCACCCTCTCTGACCTTTAACCCTGCACTCTCCGGTGGGATCACAGAGGTCCTCCACACCAGGGCCGGTTCGAGTTTCATGTCATGGATGGTTTGTTTGGAGGAATGTAGGAATGAACGTGTAAAGGACAACTCACCTTCTCAACATCGTGGAACGTCTGCTGGGACACAAATAGAATAGAATAGAATAGAATAAACCTTTATTATCCCACGGATGAGAAATTTTGGTGTTACACAGCTCTTACAGCAAGGAAAAATAAAATATAAAAGGAAGACACAAGGTGGTCCTATAAACATAAGCAACCGAAGTCCATATATACAGGTAACAATGTACAGAATATGTATAGAAAAATTGAAAAATTGTACAGTGATATGTATAAAAAAAAACAGAGAGAAGCCAATTATTCACCGAGCAGTGCTCCGGATATGAAGAGCACGTCACCTTCCTCTAATTGAAAATAAATCAGAGCCCGACAGGCCGCTCTGCCGAGGGTTAATGACCCGTTAACACTGAGAGAGGCGGCTGTCACAGAGACCAGACAAGCATCCCCCCCACGGTCTGCTTTATATATGTGATTTGGATAAAAATATAAAAAGCTCCTCTGAGTGCGCTCAGACTGAGGCTGAGGGTCCAGATGAAACTCCACCTAGCTTCAGGAGGCTGTGTTTGAGTCATTCTTGTCAGTGCATCGCAGAGAAGCGGAGGGTTCTAACACGACCTCCACGTGAGGGGACTAAACCAGCATGCTGTGATGCTGAATGGCATGTGAGCAGCACGTCATTATTTAACCACCACCTACTGGTCAGGTGGAGGACTCACCTCAGATCCCATCAGCGCCTCCTTCCTCTTCTGCACACACTCAACGTTGTCGATCTCATACACCTTTATCTCAAACTGCTCCTTCAGGGTGCCGCCCAGCGGCGGCAGGTCCACCCACTGACCACCCAGCTTCCTGCCCAGGGAGGAGGTGTCCGGCAGGGGGGCAGGGATTAGCCGCCGCCGCAGGAACCCTGCAGGTGGAAAAGGAAAGAGATGAAATAACTCATGATCAGTAAATGCAGCAGACTGTGTGTCAGGTAAAGTTCACAGGGCTAGGGGTGCAGGTGTTTCCAGCTGTGGAAGCTAACATCAGGGCCCTGCATTCGGAGACTGGTGTTTGAATGCTCACTGAACAGCTTCAACACAGCCAGCTGACTCGCTCAGTTAAAGCTGCAGTCAGCGAGGAAGTTAGTCACACCTGTGCTCTGAGCAGGTACCTGAGTCAGTGTCAAGGAGCCGGTGATGTCATTAAAAAGACAGCCAATAGCACTCAATAACAGGCAGGACTATCAAGGCTGTAACGCAGCTGCACCACATGGCCTTAAACCAGACCTGGGCATTTCACGGGCCGTGGCCCATGTCAGCCCAGGTTGGCCCACATCAGCCCATGTGAACCTTCCTGTCCAGCCAGTGTGACTTTCACTGATGTACAGATGCATGTGCAGGTAAATGTTTACTGACCAATCTGTGATGCTGCGTTTTTAACAAGGCCCGGACTAAAAACTCTTTATTCACTGAAGTCAAAGGAAAAGCTGTAAGCTCAGTCTGTGGTGTCGTGTTCAAGAACCATATTTTAAATCAGCACTGTAGCTGGGCATGCACAAACTACAAGAACGTGTGTAATGAAGGGCACAGACTGGTGACTGTACAGGGAGTGCAGAATTATTAGGCAAATGAGTATTTTGTCCACATCATCCTCTTCATGCATGTTGTCTTACTCCAAGCTGTATAGGCTCGAAAGCCTACTACCAATTAAGCATATTAGGTGATGTGCATCTCTGTAATGAGAAGGGGTGTGGTCTAATGACATCAACATCCTATATCAGGTGTGCATAATTATTAGGCAACGTCCTTTCCTTTGGCAAAATGGGTCAAAAGAAGGACTTGACAGGCTCAGAAAAGTCAAAAATAGTGAGATATCTTGCAGAGGGATGCAGCAGTCTCAAAATTGCAAAGCTTCTGAAGCGTGATCATCGAACAATCAAGCGTTTCATTCAAAATAGTCAACAGGGTCGCAAGAAGCGTGTGGAAAAACCAAGGCGCAAAATAACTGCCCATGAACTGAGAAAAGTCAAGCGTGCAGCTGCCAAGATGCCACTTGCCACCAGTTTGGCCATATTTCAGAGCTGCAACATCACTGGAGTGCCCAAAAGCACAAGGTGTGCAATACTCAGAGACATGGCCAAGGTAAGAAAGGCTGAAAGACAACCACCACTGAACAAGACACACGCACTGAAATGTGTCTTAAACTGCTCCTTTGACTGTGCAAGACATTATTAAACAATAAGTAAAGAGTCAAATATCAGCCAGCTGTCGAGTCTTATCCTTTATTTACTTTGAATCTGTCCACATTGGCAGTGGCGTGTCCAGCGGGGTGGCCTGGGGGGGCACAGGCCACCCCAGGTGCCACCCCAAAGGCAAAACAATAAAATTCAATCAAATACCAAATGTACGATTATGTTTTCACGGTGAAGCTGAGATATCCGAGTGTAAGTGAATGCAGCATCGGCTTCTGCGCTATGCGCATCACGTTAGCAAAGGTAGGAGAGCCAAGCACGAAAGACGGCACTGCAGGAAACAATTTTTCGGTGAAAGAAAATGAGGACAGAATAAATGTCCCGGTAAGTAATATCAAGTTTGTTGAGTTTAGTAAACTTCGGTGAAATTAGAATACCAAGGAAAAAATAACACTTAAAGAATTATTGCAGCCGTCAAATATTTCAGACAGTATGCTACTGAGGGGAGCTAACATAAGAGTTATGCGTTATAAGATATAATCTAAGTCGTAACATTGCTGTATGGAGCTGCAGATTTGGTTGCAGGTTAACATAGCTGGACTGGCCATCGGGCATACCGGGCATATGCCCGGTGACTTATTTTTTACTTTTTTTGTAATGGCATGAACAATGAGAGGTGGTGGATTGGCCAGATGCAGGTCGATGTGTAAGAATAACTCAGTTGTTTGGTGGTGGCTGTGGCAGGGCTTCCACAGAGGCCAGCAGGTGGATGAGGGAAAGGGAGGCAGGAGGAGAGCCCCGAGGCAGCCGCCAGTCCGAGTGTCAGGTGAACTGAGCTTCAGGTAAGAAGTTATGACCTGCAGTCTATGTGGGTCAGATATAAACCAAGTTTAGGTGGACTTTATTTTCGTTGTGCTGACTTTTTACTGTCAGTTACAATAACTCATACTGCGTTCTAGCCAGCTTGACAGAGTTTCTACACAGCTGGGTGGGTGCTATGATTTTACTGATAGTGAACTTCTCTCATTCTCCCCCCTCCCTCTCCTGTTGCTACTTCAATCATGAAACTGATCAATGATCAGCTGATCGGCTTTTCTCTCTTGTTTATTTATCGCCCACTTTGCGCCAGAAAGAGGAAACCAGCAGATGTCGCGCTAAACAACAGCAGCACGTTTAAGCTTGATCAGCTGATGTTAGAATTTATTTAATATTAATTTCTAGTATCAGCTGATGTTGGCTGGAGCCACAGCTGTAAAACCTGCTGGTCATGATGTCTGTTTAGATATGTGGTGAGAGGAAAACATGAAGATGAAACCAGGAGATGTTCTTACTGAATCATCGGAGCTGAACAGGTGATGGAGAAACAGGTTTACCTTTTAGGTGACATGAATGAGTTGAAGTTATGAACGGTTTCTGAGAGACAAATAACACCAGGATCCTTTTTTTATGTAGCTGACAGCTGGTAACTGTGCAGGGGCGGGTCTAGGAAAGTTTTGCCAGGGGGGCAGGTAGGGCATTAACAGGAAAGGTGGGGCACAAGGAAATACTTTTCTTTCTTATTCTCATTTAAAATATCTAGCTTTTATTAAATAATTAAATCTTACAACCAAAGTTTTTATCTGATGTAAAATGTATAGAAATCATACATATACCAACAAGACAGTGTACATATGGAAAAGATATATATAAATTTTATAAAGTTTGTATCTGTCTTGTGTGAAACTTGTATGAAAAGCATGCAAGAGTAAAAACAGATATAAGATCCCATGAAAGATTATATAATGAATCTTGTATGTTTTGGATACTAAAACAATATATGAAAGTAATAAGAAAGTGGCCACTTTCATGAGTAAAGTTTTTACTATTTCTTTTCCATATGGGCACTGTCATAACAGCATTTGTTTTCATTCAAAGTCTTTATGGCTTTAATACCTGGTGGGCCGGTCTGTAGTCAAAATGCCCGATTTTCTGTCCCAGTCCAGCCCTGCAGGTTAATACTGGCAGTGTCACCATGCCAGCTGACTGTATTTCATCATCAGGCAGTGTTGCTCTTGATCAATATTACCAAAGTTTACCATAAGGCAGCATAGAAAGTATTTACTTGCTTTCAGGTTTTATTCAAATGTTAGTCTTTTCATTTGTTTCCACACTTTTTTCCTGTTTCAAAATCAAACACCAGTTTGTGAGAAGATTGTATTGTATTATAGGATTGTTGAATTATGGTTAATGGTTGGTAGAATTTTTTTTAAACATTATCTGCCAATTACATCTGCCACCCTTCTCCAAATCTGTGCCCCTACCTGGCCCCCCCAACAAAAATTTTCTAGACACGCCACTGCACATTGGCCATAAAAACACTTTTATGTGTAATATGTGACGGTGCCTTTAAATGCCAGCAGCAGGTGGTGATGGACCTGAAGTCACAGCTGGAACATAAACGCTCGCCAAACGCTAACAGAAAGCTGTTTGTCTGTTGTGAGGCGAGCCTAGGGATGGGTATTGATAAGATTTTAACGATTCCGATTCCATTTTCAATTCTGTTTAACGATTCGATTCTTTATCGATTCTCTTATCGATTCTTATTTTTAAAAAAGGAGAACACTAAGGTCGATTAGCTTAGAACTTTGTTTTATATCTTCTCTTTGAACAAGATAGAAATTTAGGAGTAACATGGCCTTACAAACCCAACAGTGAGATCTTAAGAGATCCACAGCCTACGGCTCTTCAATGGGGTGCCACAGGGTCCCCAGGAAAAAAATGTAAATGTAAAATAATAAAAGAAACATTCTTCTGTAGCAATAACAAAGTGTAACATAAATTATTCTGTAGCAATTACACAAGAATATCCAGTAATGTCCTGCCTACAATTAAACACGTTCACTTACCAAAGTGAAATCGGGGGCATCTGCTGTGGCAAATGGGTGCAAGACTTTTACCACAAACTCAGTCACTGCTCGGTGACATTCGTCTATCCTGGTCTGAAAGGAGACGCTACTGGTAGACTGCAGCGAGAACTGCCAGCATCTGAGCCAGCCAGCCAGACTCTGTCTTTGTCTCTCATCGTGGTCACCTAAATGCACAGTAATGGAAGGTTTTGTAATAAGGCCGATCGCGCTAACATAATATGCACTGTTAGTTGATTATTTATCTGCCGCATTAACAGGAGAGGACGTGCAAACGTTACCGCTGCTGCTGGGTTGAGATTCACGAGTCCGGAGCGGAATTAACAACACGACATTTATTTAAGGTCATCGTGTGTTTTGTGAGCAAATGCTTTTGCATATTCGTAGTGTTTCCTCCCTTAAATTAAATATCTACTTTGCAAGTATTCCAAGTTGCCCTGTTGTCATCCGTTCTCGTAAAGTATAACCAAACTTTTGAGTATTTGAGCCGCTTACACGCCGTGTTTCCTGCCAGGTAAGCGACGCTCCGCAACGTGGTGACGTCATTTGGGGCGACTGGAATCGATAAGGGAATCGTTTGCAAAAATGCCAAACAATTCCAAGGAATTGAAACAGTGGGAACTGGTTCTCAACAAGAACCGGGTTTCCATACCCATCCCTAGGCGAGCCAGTGAAATATCACAATAAGCTCAATAAAAAGTTGCTGATTTCAGCAGACAGCTTTAATTAGCCTTCTCTTCTTCTGTGGTGCTTCCTCCTCTGTCAACATCCATTAGAGCTGCTGATCAGGTTTTAAGGCCGCTGCTGTCTACCTGAAGACCTCACTCGTATTTTTAACGACTTTGTACACACGGCTGTCAAATTAGGTTCCCAAGTAAAAGCAGAAGCAGGCATGTGCTCCACAAACAAAAAACCGTTATGGCTTATTAAAAACATCCGGGCTCACTGATGAGGATTCAGACATGATGACAGATTGAGGAGGAGTGGGTGTGAAGGCTGTGGAGTTCTGTGGAGTGGATGGGAGGATGTGTGGGTGATAATTGGAGTTGGATATGTACACTGGGAATTGTCCTCATGAAACATTCATGAGGCAGAAATGAGGCGAGATCCACAGGCCAATGGCAGACAGATCACAAGAGTGCCGATTCCGTATGCATCAGGCCGCACGTATTGCAATCGGCTGCTGGGAGCTGGGACGTGGCAGCGGCGTGCCACATGATGTGCGCCCATGTCAAGTTTTTGTACAAAGACACCGGCTGAGAGATAATTTCACATGATATCAAGGAGGAGAGCTGCCTTTGATAGATGCTCCCACAGCAGTAGCACCTGTACTCGGTGTGCTCAGCACTCATAGGAATATTGTAGCGAGCAGCCATCATCACACACTGATGGATGCTGGAAAAAGCCATAAATATGTTAATTCTTCAGCAGAGATGAGTTTTATTGCTCTTTCACTTTCTGAGTCGATGCACGGAGAAATAGTTGCTGAATATCAAATCTGAGATTTAAATTTTGGCCATCAGCTCTAATGATTTCACAGGTTATTTAAATAATATCACATTGTGATAGAAAAGCTTCCAAGTTCCTCTGCACGAGCCGCTGTTTCATAAAACCCATAAACCTTTCGTTTTGCGTTTCCATAACTGCTTAGATATACCATCCCTCGGAGAGCAAGGGCTCGTTTAAGTCTATGTGAGCTGCTGTGAGGTTAACATGGGAGCGACCGGGACGGATCTGCTGACAGACACAAAGGGGGGAGGAGTGGCCAGACATTGGTGTTTATGTGGCCCTTGATGGAACAGCAGCTGACATACCACATCATGTTTACAGTAATAATGTTGGGCCAAAAAAAGGAAAAGCACTTATCTGCACTTATCTCACATACACACACACACACACACACACACACACACACACACACACACACACACACACACACACACACACACACACACACACACACATCAAGCTACTTTTTGCACAATCCACTGTCATTGCTGCACTTTTCTATTGCACTGTTGTGCCTGCACTGTTGTGTCGGCACTGTTGTCTCTGTATCGTTCTCTTCTGTCTTTGTTTTGTTTTTTTGCACACTTGCACTTTATGTAGTCCTGTGTTGATTGTCTGTTTTATGTAGCACCATGGTCTTGGAGGAACGCTGTCTTGCTTCACTATGTACTGGCAATTGTCTTTATGGTTGGAATAACAATAAAGACAGTTGACTTGACTTGAAAAGACAATTTTAAAAAGGCTTTAAAAAATCTTCAGCTTCCACTGAGCCTTAGAACTGAATTCATGTCATATTTAGGTGATGAGCTCATTATATTAAAGATTTTTGTTCTTCAGATCTGATCACTGTAAAAAAGGGGCAGTGCTGCATGGAGCAGAACCTAAAGTGTTACCTGTGTTACATTACCCCATCTCTGGCGGCGGCATGCACTCACCGTTTCCTCTCTTCTTGGGCGATTTAGAAACTCGGCTCCTATTTGATGAGGATGCTCTGCTCTCGCTCATAGAGTCGTGTGCCGAGGAGGTGCTGCCGGTTGTCTCGCTGTCTCGGATCATGCTCTCGTAGCCGCTGCTGCCCCCGCTGTGGTAAAACAGGGCGGTGCGTCCCATGGCGGGGGGCAGCTCCCCACTCAGGATGCTGCTGTTGTCACTGCCGTGCCCACTGCTGTAGCGCTGTGGCCTCCGAGGCGCTGTGATCTTGCTGTAAGGTGATGGCAATGGTGCGTTGAGGGGTGATCCAGTGATGCTACCAGTCCTGCTGCCAGGGATGTCGCTTCCAGCTCCACCACCAAACATCTTCCTTTGGCTACCTGAAACCAACTCGCTAATCCGGCTGTTGGCTGCCCTGCCGATGGTCTGCTTGGTGCCCATAATGGTGCCTTTTACTGTCTTGCCTCCGGTTCCAGAGCGAGATGGGGACTTGCCATTGGAAGGTAGGTTGGTGTTGCACCCAGCTACATTCTCTGGCAGTTTGGGGGAGGAGCTTGGGCTCTTCGAAGTGCTGGCAGACAACGTTCGAAGTTTCAGTCCACCAGAAGCTGCTCCTCTTGATCCGCTGCCACTGCGGACCTGCCACAGTTTGCTGGTTGCTGCAAAAACACCAGCTGGAACTTGGGACGGAAAGGCCGATGTGGAGGTGGATGCCGGATCACTGAGTCTTGGCACTGATCTGTTGGATCTGCCATTTCCTCCAGATGTAGCACCACTGTTTTCTCTGAACAGCTCAGGTTTGGACCCAGCTAAGGTTGGGCTGTCGCACCTTTCCAAAGACATTAGACTCCCAAAGTACCTGGAAGAATCTTTGGCTCCTTGCGTCTTCAGGCTTGAGGATGTCCTTGCAAAACTGTGTTCAGTTTTAAAGCTGGATGTCCTGTGGCTGAATGAACCAGCTCTGAGCTTGACATGCACTTCATCCTCTGAGGACTTTCCAGTGTTGCTGCTTGTTTTTAAGGCACTTGGAGACAGCACAATTCTTAATTTTTGTTCTTGACTCGACTGTCCAAACTTTGTGCTGCTTTTTTGTCCATTTGCCTTTTTTCCCAGGGATGAAAACCTCAGTGTACTGATCACTGAAGCAGCTTCTTGGGGGGTGGAAACGGTTCCTAGAGTTGTTGCGCCCCGAGTGAGTCGTGGCAATTTGATGAGAGTGTCTCCTCTCCTGCTGCTGGACTTCTCACAGCCATCAACAACCCTCTGGGCTGAAGAAGACATCTGCATCTTTGGTGGGCGAGGTACACTGTTGCTGTTCCCTCCGGACCTCTTGGAGGAAACATTAGTCACGCCACTTCTTGTTGGCTTACTTGCAGAAAGAAACTCCGCCTCTCTGGTATCACAATAACTGCTTCGCTGAAGCAAAACATCATCCTGCCTGCCTTCCTGTCTGCTGCAGCCCACAGCTGCAGATGAGGTAGGCTTGGTTTTCCTGGGAAGACTGGAATGGGTGGCATGGCGGGGAATCTGTGTTGACACTGATGTGTTCAGGGTATTGGCTTTCACCTTCAGAGAGCCTTTTAGAGATGCTTTGGCTGACTTGGGGGAAGGAGGGCACTTAGTAAAAGATGGTTTGTTTGGGCTAGCAGGGTCGCTTTCCAGCTCTGAGAAACAGACACCGCTGTCATTTAAGGAGCTCCTAATGCCATGCTGTAAGAACGGCTGTTTATGGAATATACATGGTGAGCTCAGCAGGGTGGCATTGTCCATTGTTTTATCCCTCAAGTAAAGCCTGCTTTGTGAATGAATACCATCACCTTCAGCTGATTCACAAAGCCATGAGCCAACAGACGGCTGCTTTTTGTTGTGGGAAAGCAAACCTTGTTGGTGTTCGGTGCCAACATCAGTGCCTGGTCCCACAGCTCCTTGTAGAGAGGTGTAAGCATCATATTCATCATTAATACTACTGATGATGCTGACCGGGCGAGAGCCAGCAGCTAAAGTCTGTGGAAAGCAGTCGGTGTTAAAGCTGAGGAGGTTGGAGGGACGGCCATTATCTGGGACAAGGCTGTGCGGGAGCTCCTCTATAACTGTGAACACGAGCTCGTCCTCTCCATTCAACTCCACGGGCTGCTGCAGAGTGATTGTGGTCCTCAGAAAGTCTCCGTCCAGGCATCGTCCTAACAGAGAGGCCCGGAGGTTGTTCACCTCCGTGGGGTACCTGCTTGTGTGAGCAGCTCCATCTGTGTTTAGGTTAGGGCTTATAGATTTGGGTGGCTGGTCTTGCCTCATTGCTTGTTCACTTATACTGACAGGGGGAGTCCTGCCAAGAGCCTCCTTAGGCCGAGGTGCCGTCCTCGTTGTCCTGGGTAAGGACGGTGAGGCCAGTGGCTTGGGTACAGCTCCTCTGAGGTAGACTTTCTCTCGAACTACAGGCTCTGAGTCATGGGTTGGAGCCCCCCCTGACTTTACCACACATGGCTGAACGGGGGTGCCTGAAAGCTTCTCTCCATCTGCACTCGTCCTTTTGGACGTCTCGATGAAGCCACCAGCTGAAGGTAGTTTGGGCTGATCCTGATCTGATTTGTCTATGAATGTTGTCAGTGTGCTTTCTGAGAACATGTGGGACGAGTTCTTCTCAGATTTGGGTGGAGACGTTGCCTCTGTGGGTTTAAGAGGGCCACTCTGAGCCTTCAGCGCTACTGATTTCTTCTCTGTGCCGAACATGGCCGGGCCCTCGCTGCCATCAATGCAGTCGAGTCTCTCCTGTAGTTCTGCAAACGTGTTACACTTAAAGTGGTCACCGTCGGACTTGGGTGCATCTTTGACTCGCTTTTTGTTCAGGGACGGAATAATGGGAACGAAGGAAGGCGGACCCTCGTTGTCGCTCAGCTCTCGGTCTGAGATTGCCTTCCCTCCCGGCCCAACGTAGATGACAGTGTCACAGGAGTGCTCACTGCTGGAGGAATAGTCGGGATCACTCGAGAGTAGCAGCGGAACATCCGGGTCGAGGGCCACGGTCAGAGGGTGGAAGGGTCGAAGACGAGGAGGCCGACAGGATGGGCCTTCCTCACAGGAGCTCTCCCCTCCAGATGAGCTGGAGGCATGCTGCGAATAAAAGAGAAATAATACAGAATTAACCTCCTAAAGAGAGCTGGAGCATGCAGCGATTAAACTGAAGGGAAATCATTACATGAGTGCCCATGCACTGTGTTACATTAAAATGAATGTGAGTGAGATGCACATGCTACTAACTCTGGATTGAAATCTTCAACATACAGTGTGTAAGTCTGCCTAATGAGGCTCATCTCAGCACACAAACGCCCATCCCTGTAGATACACTGGTATTGATTATCTATCAAACCATGATAGGAAAAGTCGGTGAATTATGACATTCTGAACTCATTAAAATAGATGTGAGGGGTTTATTGTTATTAGCCTCAAGAAATTAGTGAAAATTCATTTAGAGTCCAAAATGTTTGGAAATCCCAAAGAATGGTTTGAAGACTTTGATAACTTTTAAACCTCAGTTTGTCCTTTGAATTTGTTTTGCCTTCAGTGTTATAGATGTTTAATGTTCAGAGACAAAGACTTGAGATTTAAGTTTGAGGTGCAGTTTTCTGTGAACTTCAACCTAACAACAATCAGAACCTAATCAATCTCATCCACATGTGAGTAAATGGTTTCTGTATTGGTGATATAACATTTGGTGTTTTGCACACTGTACCAGAGATCCGTGACCTCCGCCACAACGAGCTCCAGAAAGAAAACCTGAATAAAGATGAAGCACCTTCGACTTCTTCTTCCTCATGCGGTGGATGCGATAGGCCAACTGCACCGTGGTCAACGTCTCCATGTAGCCCGCCGGGGAGTCGGAGATGTGAGCGATCATGGTGGTGCGGCAGTTGATGTTGCCCAAGGATTCGCGGAGCAGCATGGTGAGCTTGCTATCCCTGAATAATACATTAAAAAAATGCTTCGTTAGCTCAAAAAAAGGAAGACATGCTGCGGGCCTGAGAATCCCCACGGGGCCGCAGATACCGCACAACAGTTTGGCACAGATAGGCAAAAAGGAATAGGAACGAGCTCTCATTTCACATTAATGAAGTTCGCTTTGAACTACACGCCACATGTGATCCAGAGGCAGAGACAGACTGAAATGTTCATGAAACTCTGCCTTTGAAAAGACCTGGACTATCGCTACAGAAGACGGATCAAACACAGAATTTACATACAACAGTCTAAGCTTTTTCTCCTTTTTAACCCAACACGACTGAACTCCAGCCACCGACTGACCTAAAATATCACAAGTCCTCGTTTGGGGGTTTTCTTTGGTTCAACTTCCACTCACTAACTTCACTCATGTAAATGTGTGAAAAAAAATCTTATTAATGGATGTGACTGGAGCATCAAACAACTCAAGGGTTGCTTGTCATTAAAAAACATGAAAACATAAAGATATCAAAGATTCTTCCATCGACAGGCTTGTATGTTAGTCTTTGAAGTCTGTGGATGATAACTGATGAGATTCTTTGGTGCAGATATTCGCTCCATAAATAAAACACATGTGATGCTGATGGCTTCACAAACGAAAAGAAAAGGGGACGAAGGAGCGAGGTGAAAGTTCATCAATATAATTAAAAAATAGCATCCAGAAATAGGTATTAAACAGAAAAGACCAAATGTGAGGAGCAAAAAAGGACTGAACATCAGTTATCATTACTGTGACTTATTCATCAGCATAAACAACCATTTAACACTGACTGAAAGCTCATTAAAGCTCACAGCTTGACCCCCACCCCCCTCACGGGGATCATTGGTCCATCTGTTGTTTGGCTGCTGTGACCTTTGACCCCATTGAGCTCATCAAAATGCCCGTACCTGTAGGGAACGTGCTTGGCTCCATTGGCAAGGGCGAGGATGACATTTCCCAGCGCCGAGAACGACAGACACTGACCCCCGCCCCCCTCTCGGGTCCTGCTGATGTCCGTCTCGCAGCTGCCCAAATCCAGGAGGTGAAGGCGACTCCGACTGGACACTGCCATGCAGATTGAGAGGGCTTTATAATGTATGACACTGCCTGCTTAACTGCTCATTAGTTCTGAGACAACAATCTATTCATTAGTCTATAGACAGAAACATAATCAATAGCTTTGGTAATAACTTATTGGCTGCTTTGAATCATTTATCAGGAACCAAGCAGCCATTAGGGTAAAGACATCTCTTCCTTATCTGTGAATGATAGGAATCATATAAAATGCCCGTGGGCTGTGTGCGAGCTGAAGTAAAGTCCTGCAGCAAATCTCAAGTCATCAGATCATACTTCCAATACATTACTAACCAAATGTAGAAACATATATACGCCTGCATGCATGTGCAAATGTTAAAGAAGCTTCATCTGAACACGTCCCAAATGCATCCCGCTAAGCTTCAGTATCAGTCTGATCCGCTCAGTTTAACTGCCTGCTCATTTCATTAATTCAGAGTAATGATGGCGAGAACCATTAACCGGCCACATCAGCAAGATTTAGAAAGTGCTGAGCGCCACTGAGTGGATGCTTTTCCACAGCTCTATAAACACTGCAGGATGCCAAGCCATCAGGGCTCGTTAGCCATGCAGATTTATTCCAGCATAAAAGCCCAATAACGGAGGAAGCGGCTCTGCTGACAGGTAGACGTGGGTGGAGGCAGCGTTAGTGTAGCTGCTCTGCTTGTAAACGCTCCTGTTGAGCATGTTAGCAATTCAACACCAAGCTAATTAGCAGCTACATGTTTGGAGTGTGGAAAAAAAGAGCTAACGACTAATTGAGCTGCCAAATTTTACAGCTGCATGGTCGCTAATGGGGGCTTTTATTCTTGTCCCGGGGTCAGAGCCTCTAACCTGCTGCTGCTCCAAGTCCTTGCTGAGCTGATGAGTCTGCAGCTGGAGTGTGTGTGCAGGTCTGTGTACTGCTGGGAGGTTTAAGGATTATCATATCTCGCTTCAGCTGAACCAAATAAGCCATTCAGACTTCATTTAGGGTTTTCAATGACATGCTGAGTACCAGTTTCTCTTCAAAGCGCCCTGCTTTTTCCCAGATCCACAGTTTGTATGGAATGAATTGCAACCTTGCCTTCACCTTCAGAAACGTCTGTGAACATCTCAACAGGAAGGGAGACCAAACTCAGAGAGCTCCACCCAGCCTGAATCTCTCAGCCATTTCATCGGAGCATGTCCAGTTACTTGTCTGACACCGTGTCAGAAGTGAACCATGTAGAGCATTAGTCCATCATGTATCTGCTTAACCTGCCATCAGTGTTCTCTTTGGTTAGTCTCAGCCTTCAAAACGTGGAGTCCACAAACCAACAGGTGTCAGACGAGTGAGGTATATGTTCCTGATATACTATCAGTTCCCTCAGTGATCTCAAGTTTGAATTTTAAAGGGTTTAGGTTTTATTGCTTGAGGTTCTGCTTCCTGATAACAAACATACTGAAAAGAGGAAGAAGCTGCGAAACTGGTCCACAAATATGAGTAGAGTTTTAACGTCACAGCAACTTTTAATAATTCTGGCAAAATATCAGTTATGACCACGCACACACTCACTGGCTGCCTTGTTGCTCTTGTCCAGTCTCTCCTGGTAGAGGTGCAGGGTAAACAGGAAGTGGGAGTTCCTTCGGACTTCCTGGTTGTTCGGCATTTGGTTGCTCTTCCTTGCTGCCAGGGCGGCGTCCAGGAAGGATGCTGCTCGCTCGGCACTGCTCGCCCGAACCTCTATCTGGTTCTGCAGCTGATAGAAAGAGCTAATGAGATGCAGATAAGCTGGGACTGAGGTGGCTGCACAGAACAGAGGCATGCTTCATGGTGAAATGCTGCAGGCTAGCATGAAAGTCCATGTTTTCAGCTTCTGCTTGCAGGTGTACATGATGAAGATTAGGGATGGGTACCGGTGTCCGGTGCCATGATGGCACAGGTTCTGACATAAACTGTAGTAACCAGACCGAAAAGCAGCGCACATTTCGGTGCTTTATTTCGGTGCTTTTTTTTCCTGAGCTGTGATACACTTCTAGCCAATAATTTTACGTTTCCGAGGATAGTAGGCGGGCCCAGGTACGTACGTTCTTTTAGAGCAGAGCTACAGATTAAAAATGCCCAAGGCGAAGCGGTCAAAGGTCTGGCTGTACTTCACAGCAAAATATGCAAACTCAGCAGCCTGCAACAAGTGCTTTAAGCTGATACTGTCAAAGGAGGCAACACCTCAAATCCGATGAAACACCTGGCGACGCATAGTGTTTTTTTTTAAAAGCCCAGAAATGCGCCGTATGATAGCTTGCTGCGAGACCTCACACCGAGCGCATCTACTGTGCGTGGGTTGCCTGTTATCGGACCCGGAGTTAGCAATATCCCCCAAAAAACCCCGAAGAGGAGAGTCCTGGCCTCTAGCCCTGCCAGTGTAGTGAAATGATGACGGATGATGATGGCAGCAGCAGCCGTTCTTCTCTGCGTGAGTAGCTTAATGTTGTTCGTGTGTAATTTACGTTGAGTAGGCTAACCACGTTATTACATTAATGCATGTAAGGTGAACTAGCAAACAACATCATAGCTACATGCGGCTGTCTTCTTGTTTGATGGCAGATACTCCCTTCACCCTGGCCAAAAAGGCTAAAATGACCAAAGAAAAAGTGGAAAACAGTTAAACATGAGAGGTTTTGGACAAAGTTTGTGTTTTTTCCATTGATTAAGCACTGCTTCCAGCCAAGAGTGATACCATATATGCCCCATAGCTGCAGAAAAGGCTAACATTGTTATCTTTTTACAAAAAACCAGCTGAACATGAGAGGTTTTTGGACCAATTTTGTGTTCTCCATCCTTTAAGCACCGGTTTGAGCACCGTTTGAGCACCGGCACCGTTTCAAAAGTACCGATTTGGCACCGGTATCGGATAAAACCTAAACGATACCCATCCCTAATGAAGATCCTGCAGTAAGAAAGAGCTCTTCTTCTCTGTTCATATAAAGCCAACTTAGATTTATATATACACAGAGTCTGAGAGCTACCACAGGACAGGGGGAAGAGGATGGATGGATTCACATTCAGATTTCACTGAGCTATGACCCTGATGGAAGCTGTATTTATCCAATATTGATGTCTTTCTCCTGACTCAGTTTAACATCAGGCACGATTAAAACACATAGGCATCTTGCAATCAGGCGCAGACACTGCCAAGAGTTTACCCCATATTAGTCAGGCTCGGACTGAAACAAAGCTTTAAATCATTCTGCAGCACAGAAACCAGACTGTGATCATCTTCCTGCCATCTGCAGCTCTGTGATGTTCTTTTGGCTCAAAGTAGAAATCCTTCTTTACTCTTAGAGAGAAAATGAACGAGATAAAAGTTAAAGTAAGACAGAATGAGGTTTGATAAAGGAAAAAAAGGAAGGATGTCAGAATGAGAGGAGAAAAAGAGAAAGAAAATTAAAGTGAGCGCAGATAGAAGGAGCCCGGGGAGATAAAACAAACTGAACGAGTTGGAGGAGGAAGGTCAGGACTAATTGGACAGGTGTCAACAGTGAAGAAGTCTCTAGAGTGAACAGGAGTTCAGTGAGTAGGTCAGGAACAGACAAAGAGAAGGAAAGGAGGAGATGGCGAGGTCTTTTGGAAAGGGAACGGCATGAGTGGCCCGGATGACTGGATGAACATATTGGATATCATGTTGAGCTGTAATCATTAGTTATATATCATCTAATCACAGTCCTCGGTTTATATCAGAGGCCAGTTTGTGTGATTGGTTAAAAAGTGCTCAAAGTGCGAGTTGTTTCCTGTACCTGGGATCCACAGATGGGATCTTCTCTCAGCAACACAGCGGGGCCTGGTGCCTCCTGGTGCCCTGCCGCCGCCAGTTCGGCCAAGAGGTCGGTGAGCGTCTCCTCGCGGCCGGAGATCTCCACGGCCGACACTCTGACTGAGAAACAAGCTCCGGACTTTTCCTTCCGGTCCTCGATCACATTGAACAGCCAGGAGATCGCCGTTGGAGCCACACCCAGGCTCTGGGTGGAGCAGTCCCGACCAATCATGGTGTACGTCTTACCTGTGGAGGCAGGGTCAACTCAACAATCATGTGACTTTTCAGAATTATGTCTTTGTGTGTGTGGGTGGCGTATCATGTGTTTACCCAGGTGAGCATGCCCGAAGCAGAAGATGCAGCCGTCCGCGCCATTCACCACCGACTGGATGACCTCTGCCACCGTTCCTGAACACACTTCAGCCTAGAAGAGAGAAGCCAGCGATCACTTAGAGCACTGCCACTATCACAGCGCCTCATACATAACAATACACACAGTACAGTATTTTTGACAAGCTTTAGGTCAGAGATGTTGGAGCACTTGGTGTACCGAAGCCCGCTGCTGACATGCCAGCAACAGCATGGCAGGTATGTGACCTGCTGCAGGTAACCAGAGCAGGAAAAGTCATTTAGGACCAGCTGTGAGTGACAAAGTGAATCCTTCCCCATGTGGATGCCTTGACTTTAAAGCTGAGCTTACACACCTGAGAGGTGTCCTACAAAGGAAGTTAACATATCCAGGCTTCCTCTGAGTTAGCTAACTCAACTAAACCTGGAACCTCAGTCAGAGATCATGGGTCTCATCACTGTGGTTATCAACTTTCTCTGTTGTGGCTCTCTGCTCCCTGTGAGCTCCACCTTCTCCAATCAGAGACGATATCAGATGAGACGATGATAAAATCTAACAGTAAAATAGTCTTAAAGACAAAAGTGGCAGAAACTGGTTAATCTAGTGATTTGTGTCACACAGCAGTAAATTCAAGATATGAATGGCAGTGAATGATGTGTCTGAGTATGCTCAGTGCTGCTGTTTGTTTCTAAGGTGATGGCTGCACATATAACATTCATATCACACTGAAAGCAAGATGTAAATAAGAGAATTTGTAAAAATCTAGTGCTTCCAGATGATTTTAAACCAAATGAGTGTTCAGCGTTCATTACCATGGTGATTTAGGAGGTAAAAAAGAGACAGCTCAGTAAACGAAAGAAATCATCAGCAGGAATACATAAATGTGTAGAATTACAGGAAGAGTTCTGATAAAAACAATCAAACCAAAAATAGTTGTTGTATATCTATTACTTAATTACTTTGATGGAGATTGAGTATCTTGACTTTTCTAGTGCCTTAAATACAATGTAATGAACCGCTGATCTGTACCATAAGTCATCCTTGCGGGGGTTGTCGGAACTGTATGCGCAGTCGCACTAAGGACAGATGTGCTCAGAGGCATACCCCGTAATGTGTATGGAGCAGTCTGTCGCGGCAGGAATAAGTTGTACAAAGTCCATGTAAGTTACGATAATACTTTGATAAGTGATAAGTGTGTTTCTAATGTAAGGTATGTTGCTGCGTTTGTATTGTGAGCTATCTGAAAACCTTTTTATTCTGTATTTACGTTACTTACATCCATGTGCTATTTTTTTTGGCAAGACATGTGTGTCATGCAAGCTAGCAGCACCCCATGAGAAACGGGCCGAAGTGTTTAAGTGTTTACCGGAGTTTTGCACCCTTGGCAAGCGGACTGAGGTATGTGATGAGAGGTGATCTGTTGTTATATTTTATTTAACTGAACTGTGTAATCCCTTGATGCTGTTTGAAGTAACCCCTTTTGTTTTATTTAATCTGTGACTGTATATCTCATAATTACTTGTTTGAACTTGCCTGAATTAACTTAAGCTCATTGTTGTTATTCCTCATTGTTATAGTTCAAAAAGTACTGTACGGGTATCAATTTTTTCTTATTTTATAGTTTTCATGGTGCTCAACGTCCAGAGAATGAGCCGTGTGTGGTGAGAAAATAAATGGCTGCACCCGTTAGAGACTCTTCTGTTGTTCTTGATGCCAAGGGGTGCTACAGTGAAACTCATCGCTGCCTTGCAGCCATCTACGCTCATCTTATTCTTTCGTCGAACTGTGAGTAAAGGAGTGTATCGCATCATCCAGAGACTGCTGGATCAGTAAAGGACTCAAAATAAGGACATTATAAATACAATGTCATGCACATCTGCATCTTGTAAGCTGTGTGAGCAAATGATCTTCAACATGGCAGTCTAAAGTAATGCAAGAAAGAAAGACCTCTTCTGTATTTAACACAGTAGCATGTAAACTTGTGATGCTGAATATCCCACATTTCTTACATCAGAATGTCTAAGACTGAATCTGGGCTTTATGCTATCAGTTGTACTTCTGTAAAAACTTAAGTGGCAAATTGTCTGATTTGAGGGCATCATCAGTATTATTTGGGTTTTGTTGCCAGTCTGTGAGGTTAAAGGTGTAAATATCTAAGTTGAGTGTTAATAAGTTTGAAACCACCACTCAACCCATTTGAGTTCAGATATATACACTTAAAAGGGCAGGTGCAACAAGCCAAAAATAAAATTAATAATAATGTGGTCCCCCGTTGAAGAAATAGACAAATCTACAGAGGCACAACAGGCCAGGTCCAGCTCCAGAGAGCGAAGACTAACAGAAAAGGGGCAGGAGATGCATGAACAGGAGGCCAAGAAAAATGAAAGGTCATTTAGCAAGGCATATGAGTCCTGGAAGGAGTTAGCAAGAGGAGTTAGAACAAAGCTGAAAGGTTTCTTCTCAAACGAAGACCTTGTTAGAACACAAACGGACATTAAGGCTAAAGAAGCATTAGTACATGAACTGTATGAGCCTAGCCGACGTAATCATACTTCTACTCCAGATGTTGTCAAGAGAATGGATGCCTGTGTTGCCCTAACAACAGAAATTTGTGATCTCATTAGTAAACGACTAGAAGATATAGATAAGACTTTTAATGACAGGTTCGAGAAGGAGCGTGTAAGGATGATATTAAGTAAGGAGGAGTATGGATCTGTTTTTGGGAAAACTGAAACAGAAACAGTTATTTCAGAGCATTCAAAGGGCTCAGATTCATACTCTGGAGCCACATCTACGACTTCTAGCAAACGTGTGGATGCCGAAGCTGACCTTGCAGCTAAACTAGAACAGGCGAAGGCAATGCAACGAATACATGAACAGCAAGCCAAGTTGAGTAGCTTAGAGCATGAGTGGAAAATCAAGGAAGCACAAATGATTGCAGAAATGACAGCAAAGTTAGAGGAAGAGAGAACTAAACTGCAACAGCTACAGGCAGAAAATGAGGTAAAAGTAGCAGCAGCCAGAGTGAGAGCTTACAACAACTACAATGGATTGGAAAGCCTTAAGTATGAAGCAGATGACAAATCACAACTTGATAGCCAAATCATTGAATCTCAGAATCCATTGAATCCACAGGCTGAATCATTTCGACCGCAGTGTGCACCACCTGAGATTTTGCAAAAGCAACAGGAGGTCAGCTTAACACAGGAGCTTGCAAGCTTGTTCGTCTCCAACTGTCTGCCTGAACCTGAACCCACAGTGTTCACTGGTAACCCTTTAAAGTTTATAGACTGGAAGATATCCTTTATAGCATTGACTGGCCACAAACCCCTCCCCGCAGGCGAAAAAATGTTGTATTTGAAAAGTTATCTTGCAGGTGAGGCACGGAAGGCGGTCGAAGGATTCTTCTATCGAAACTCAGAAGATGCATATCAGGGTGCCTGGGAGATTCTTCAGGAGAGGTATGGAAGGCTTTCAGGGATAAACTGATGAAATGGCCAAAAATAGCTCCCAATGACCCAGTAGCCCTCAGAGAGTTTTCAGATTTCCTTCAAAGTTGTGCCGAGGCCATCCCTCATGTTAAAGGGCTGGCAATTCTAAATGATTGTGAAGAAAATCATAAACCTCTCAAAAAACTGCCCGAATGGCTGGTACGCAGATGGGGTCGCGTTGTTGTGGATGAACTAGACAGATGTCAAGAGTATCCACCATTTGCTCATTTCACCAGATTTCTACAAAGGGAAGCTAGAATAGCCTGCAACCCCATTGCTTCTCCCTTCTTATTAACCACTAAAGTAACAGATGAAAGGCTTCCTAAGAGAAGCACTCTTAATTCTTACTCTCATGTATATATCTCATGTATATCTCATGCACATATCTTTCCACGTAGCACTTTTAATTCTTATCCCCACTTTTATTTTTTCCATGTCTATTTAAGTGTTATTTATGACACCATGTTTGCACTGAAGCACCGCAGCAATTTCCTAATGTTGTAAACCTGCTCAACATTTGGCAATAAACCCCATTCTGATTCTGATTCTGATTCTGAGAACCAAGGCACTCAGCACCAATGCTCAAGCTAAACACTCTGCAGGTAAACCAGGGACCTTAATTTCAAAGCCAAGACCTCCATGCTTCGTCTGCAACGATGAAACACACGGTGTCACCAAGTGCCCAACCTTTGCCACAAGGCTTCCTGATGAAAAGAGAGCTTTCATTCGTGAAAACCGTCTTTGCTTCGGCTGTTTAAGAAAGGGTCACACTAGTAAAGAATGCAAAAGAAGGCACACATGCACTATATGTGGTCGAAATCATCCAACTTGCTTGCACATAGAGAGAATTGAGGGAGCCAGTGAAATGTTAAACAGTGATTCACCATCTGCAGGAAATGAGACAAAGGAAGTCCGCAATGTCATGTCTAGGGATGGGTACCGGTGTCGGACATAAACGGTAGTAACCAGACTGAAAAGCAGCGCACATTTCGGGGTTTTTTTAAAAGCCGAGAAATGCGCCGTATTTGATAGCTTGCTGCGAGACCTCACACCGAGCGCATCTACTGCGGGTGTGGTGCCTGTTATCAGACCCGGAGTTAGCAACATCCCCAAAAACACGAAGAGGAGAGTCCTAGCCTCTAGCCCTGCCAGTGTAGCAGGATGATGATGGATGATGATGGCAGCAGCAGCCGTTCTTCTCTGCGTGAGTAGTTTGATGTTGTTCGTGTGTAATTTACGTTGAGTAGGCTAACCACGTTATTACTTTAGTGCAGGTAAGGTGAACTAGCAAACATCATCATAGCTACATGCGGCTGTCTTCTTGTTTGATGGCAGATACTCCCTTCACCCTGGCCAAAAAGGCTAAAATGTCCAAAGAAAAAGAGGGAAACAGCTAAACATGAGAGGTTTTTGGACAAAGTTTGTGTTTTTTCCATTGTTTAAGCGCTGCTTCCAGCCAAGAGTGATACCATATATGCCCCATAGCTGCAGAAAAGGCTAACATTGTTATCTTTTTACAAAAAACCAGCTGAACATGAGTGGTTTTTGGACCAATTTTGTGTTCTCCATTCTTTAAGCACCGGTTTGAGCACCGTTTGAGCACCGGCACCGTTTCAAAAGTACCGATTTGGCACCGGTATCGGATAAAACCTAAACGATACCCATCCCTAGTCATGTCACACACATTGACAAGATACTCCTCAGCTACGTCTAGCATTGTTCCTGTTTTTGTGTCATTGGCAGAAGACCCCCACAGCGAGATTCTCACATATGCTCTGCTCGACACACAGAGCGATTCAACTTTCATCTTGGGAGATCTGGTCTCTGCACTAAATGTGAAGACTCAGCCAGTGCAATTAAGGCTCAGTACAATGACAGCAGTAGACACAGTCATAGCCACAAAGTGGCTTGTGGATTGCAAGTTCGTGGGCTCCATAGTGAGTCGCATGTTCTTACAGTGGATGGCATTACCTTGACTTGCAGTAACACTGTGATGAACCTTGGAGTCATTTTTGTCCAGGATATGTTCTTCAATGCACATATTAAACAAATATGTAGGACTGCTTTCTTTCATTTGTGTAAGAAGTAACTTCCACAACAACGATTGACTGTTGAGGAAACTGTTGGTGTGATCTAGTGCTATATACATAAAACTGAAATTAATAAGAATGAGGGAAGTCTCTTATTGGTGCACTTTGTCCAGCAGTCAGACACCTGAGCGTGGACTCCACACTGACCCAGGTGTTTTCTCCAATTCTCCAATAAAACTCGTGTTAAACATGAAACCATTATATCACCGATGCAGTCAGGTGTCTAAAAAGAGAGAAGATCTGCAGCCCAGCAGGCACGATGATGCTGAGTGCCATGTTGTTTGCTTGGAGGAGCTGAAAAATTGAACATCATAAACATGTTTTTATGAATCTATCTGCAGGTATATGTCACATCACAGATACAAACATTCAGCACTGACACTCACACACACACACACACACACACACACACACACAGCACTGTGATCTGTCTGCTGCTGTCATTGCTCTTTGTGGGTAAAGAGCATGCTGACACGTTGCTGATGAAGAGCTCAAACCTTCGTGCGTGCCCTGAATTTAGATTTTTATTCAGAAAACTCTGAAAGTTTCACTTTAAACTGTTCATTCTGCGTCACCAGCAGCAGGTCTGTGCAGCTAAATTATCAGCTGTAACGTTACCCACACTAATCCCCGGAAGAAGATATGGTAAAGTTCCTGATGCTGGAGAACTCACCTGGGAGGCGTCCTGCGAGAAGATGGCATCAAAGGTGAAGGTCTTTGGCGCTGAGGCTGAGGACCGTCTCTGGGCTGACGTCTCGCACAGCGTGAGCTGCTTCTTCCTGCCGTCGACCTTCAGGAAGGACATGGACTCCGAGGACTCATCCTGGACCGAGCAGATCCGGACCATGACTCTGACCTGAGGACAGACAGGAAGCATGAAGCACAGAGAAGACTGCTGCGTTCATCAAGTCTCTGGCTGGACAATGGAGTTGCATCATGAAACGTTAAACTAAGCCAGAGGTGCTCAGATAGTGATAGATGGTTGGCCTGAACGTGGCCACGTTTGCTTCACCTGCAGCCGTTCGTTATCTTGGGTACAAGCGTTCAGAGATATTGACACCGAGTTGGAAGGAAACTGTGCTTCTTTGACTTTGTTTAGTTAAACTTTGATTTGATTTTTTCTACCTGCTGTTTAGTTTTGTTTTCCATGTGGTTTTCACTGAGTTTGCGTTAGATCACCTGACTCAGATCACCTGATACACACCATCAACTGTTTGTGCTGAAAGAAGCTCAGAATCAGCCGTAACGCCTCCAGAGACGTCCTGAGCTCTTCTTCAGGTATTCCAGGATGACATTTTAGACTGTAATCAGAGCTGGACTGAGCAGGGAGTCACACTGCTTTCCTGACCTTTGACCTTCAACAGCCCGTGTCCCTCAGCCTTCTAAAGGGTTTTATTGTGCTGTCATAGAGCTGCTGAGCTGGTGGCGAGGAGTTTGAGTTTACAGCCAATAATGAGACGGAGCAGGTTTTAAACATCGAGTCTCTGCGAGCCAGCTCCTCTGTCACCACGGATACAGACAGGAAGCAGCTTGAAAGTCGCCATCTGATCCAGTCACAGCTAATTTTATGTGTTCCAGTCACTCGGCACTAGGGGTGGGTTTTGATTATTGATTATTTTTTTGATTATTGATTTTCAGATTAAAATCAATTCTAGCTTGAATAACGCAATATCGATTCATTAAAATCTTGAATGAATATAAATCTAAATATAAATTTATTATGCCCGAAATGCCAGAATCTCAGGCTATGTCTCTCTCCAACCAAATTTGACTGAACCAGCAGCAAAAGAAGATCCAAACTACGCTTCACATTTCACTTCACATAAACATCGTCATGAATTCTCTCTTTTGCTGTTTTGCTTCCACCACAGTAAAATGACACTTCATGCACAGCTCTCTCTCTCAGTGCACTTCAAAAACACTTTCTCATCTAAAAATCTCTGTTTTCTGCATTATTTTCTTGTTTATTACGCACAAGTCTACTGTTATGTACAGCGCTGTCGGCCGCTGTTTTTCTTTTTTTTAATTTAACTGACTTCTGACAAGAAAGCCCCATTTCTTTTGTTCAATACTGAAGAAAATTTTCAATATTATGTGATATTGCAAAACACTTAGCTGTGTCTCTAATTAAACCTCTGTAAATTTGCTTTCACTTCAGAAACATCAGGTAATGTTCATGTGTAGATTAATGGTTTTCTTCTGTTTTTGTTTTACTGCAGAATATTTTTAAGGTGGTTATCTGCTATAAAAAGACAGGTCAGGAAATTCTCCTTCATGTTTTTCTGTGTTTTCGCTCTGTTACTTTGACACAAAAGCATTTGCTGTGATGCTTACAGAAATGTCAGTTTTCTTTTTAAAGATATAAAAATATGGATATGTACTGATAAATGATCAGAATTATAATATTTCTGTCTGAGGCAAATTTCCCCAATTCAAATCAAATCGAATCGAATCATGGATCAAATCAAATCGGGACCTTGTGAATCAATTCTAGAAATCAGTGACGATACCCAGCCCTACTCGGCACATTTATGTTCAATCACAAATGTTTTTACAGGATTTTTTCTTCATTTTTTCTTTCACCTGATCAGTAACATCCAAATAAAACCCTAAAACTGAAGCTCCGCCTTCCTGGACAGTCTGTTAGTGCAGATGTATGATGTCATTAAAAATGCTCCAAAAAGCTCCAACAGCACAAACACAGCACAGAGGTCCAGTTTAGCTGAAGCTAAAACCCCTTGTGTCACCTGTCAGTCAGAGAGGCCACACCCCTAATAATTCAAATGCAGCTGTTATACAGGGACACATATTTATAGAGACCAAACAGTTTGTGTATCAGGCTGTAAACATGTGGGCACTGACTTCCTGCTGCCTCTGCTGGACGTCAGAGGAAGTGCATGTTTCAGTGCAGTGTTGCAGAAGCAGGCTGGGTCAGATCCTCGCTGTGATATTTTCAGATTAAAGGTACAGCATCAATAGATAGCAAAGATAGCAAATAGCAAAAATCTGAAGGGCTGCTTTCAAACTGCAGAGCTTCAAACAGAAACAGCTCTGACCTCAGTCTGAACTCAGAGTTTGATATCACTCACGATGAAGTGTTTACACCCAGAATCCAGCTCAGGCTCTCTCGCCCACACAGAGAGCAGCCAGAGGCCATGGTGAGAAGTTTTAAGACATTAAAGAGAATAACTGCAGGTTCAGAGGAATGAATGCAGCGCTGAATGCAAACGAGAGAAGAGACGGCAGTCAGAGTGAATACTTATCTCTGACTCTGCCTGTTTCCAGGAGTTCATCTAATGTCACTAAATTCTTACAAAGTCAAATCAAGAAGCATGTGCAGAGGAGGGATGGTAGAGGATGGAGATGGAGTAGTAGAGAAGGCTCATGGATGAAGAAGTACATGCAGAGGTGGATGCTAGGATAGGAGGAGATGGAGGCAGGTGATCTGTTGTGCAGACCATTAAAGAAAAAGAAGAAGAATACGAGCAGCTTCAGTTTTCTTAATGAGAACTTTGTGTTCAGATCAGAAGGAAAGAAGAAGGAGAAAGATGAAATGATGATCTACATTGTGAGTAGTTTGTAGGTGTTGGCAGTGACTCTGTTAGTTCAGTGTAAGGTGCAGGAGCAGAGATGTATGATCCTCCTAACTTCACCGCGTCTCCTTTAAAATGCTCTTTCATTTCTGTCCTTGCCTCATTAACCGTTGCATTGGCAGGATGCAGATGTGAGCTCCTGCAGCTGCCGGCGGATGGAGATGAAGGAACCTGAGCTGCAGCGAGGAGACATGGAGTCCCTACATGGTGCCTGCAGGGCTCTGAAGCCAGCAGCACACCCTGACCTGTGGGGACCTCACACAGAGCCCACCTGCTGCAGGAGGAATCACCTGACATCTGAATGCCAGCAGAGAGCTTCCTCTTCAGGATTCAGGCACACTTACTGCTGCAGTCACAGCAGCTGGCATAGGAAGAGTTTAGGGGGATGATGAGGGCTTCACATGGACGGAGAGTCATCAAACTCAAACACGTCAGTGAACCATGTATGTCTGCGAGTCTCAGTTCGGTGCTTCTTTGTGTCAGCAGAGATGAGAGAGCACAGAAATGAGGAGCTCACGCTTCAAGCTAATGGTGCGCCAGAGTTACCTGGCTCACCAGTCAGCTGTGTCTGAGAGGTTAGCAAGGACATCGTGTGATTACGGTGATTTGGTGGAGACCTGAGCTCAGACGCTAATCGCTCCGTCCACCAACAGTCTGATAGCCAAGCGTCTGATCTGCACCCAAACGCCAACAAACATTAACCTGTCAGAGACGAGCCTGTCAGCGCCCCCCGATGGGCTGCAGAGCTCATTAAAGCCTCTGAGCTAACGACACTCTTCTTAGAGTAATGCTGGTTACAGGGCTAATCTTCTGGAGAGCAGATGTTTAACCCATTGTTAGAAACATGTGACACAGGCAGTGTGAGCCCAGACTAAGACTACAGCACAGATTCCTGCTGATTGCAGATATCCTGCCGAGGGACGATAGCTCCTGAGAGAGAGACTGCCCACCTGCAGCCAGCCCATAGCCACATGAGCGAGGTAAAGCTTCTTCACCAAACCTGAAGAAGTGCAGTTGATTCTTTCTGAGCTCCTTAGAGCTTACAGTGACCTGGTACCCTCCCCTACACCCCCACCGCTGACTTCAAGGCTCGACTCCATCAGCTGAGCAGGTAAAGTCCCAGTAGCTACATCCATCAGATCCAGACTAACACCACACTATCTCACCTTTCCCATCCCCGGCGTGTCCTTGACCTTTGACCCAGCTCGAAGGAGACATGGTGGGATGGCAGGCGGGGAGAGCTGCAAGGCCCCGCTGAAGCCCCCGGTGTAAAGCAGCGGTTCTGGGGACTCGCCGGGCAGGGAGGCGGAGCCGGGCGGGGACTTCTTCCTGCGGGACAGACTGAGCTTGTGAGCCGCCCTGAAGACACAAAACACAGAAACAGAGTCAGAGAGCACCGAGCTGCACCCAAACACACCGTTTAACAGGAAATAAAGAAAACATAAAATAAGATCAGAGAGAGAGAAGAGCTGATCTGAGACTGAGTATTAAGAGATGAGTTTAAGGTCCATGTCAAACACAGGCAGAGAGAGAAGGGAGGAGGAGAAGGAGGCTCAAACTCCCTCCCAGACAGATACTATACTCATTATTGCCTCCAACCACCGGCAGGACTCACTGCCAACGTCACATTTACCAGAGAGAGAGAGAGAGAGTGTCTGTGTGTGACCGTGTGTCCGAGGGAGCAGCAGCATCTCCTGGTGCTTTGGAGATAGATGGAGCAAAGGTACAGCAGGACATGCAGAGAAAGAAAGAGGATGAAAACCGTCCCGCTCCCATTAAACTGCGGCGCTGCATCACAACAAGAGAGGAAAGCACTCTGCGAAAGCAGGGCCACCAGCGACAAGGGCCATAAGGAAGGCACCTGTGTTTTGGTCTTGGGTTGTTCCCCACTGCAGAGACCACAGTTGGCGGTCACACAGGTCAACTGATTATCTTATCGAATTGATGCTTTTGCTCTAAAGTTGTTTTTACATTTCAAACCTCTCTCACCCCCAATTTTCACCTCAAGAAAATTCAAAGTAAATACAAAAAAACCTACTCTGATTATTTTATTTGATCCCAGTCATGCAGCTCTCTCTAGGCTCAGCATTAGGATGCTAATGAACTTGCTCCGTGGCTCAGAGTCATTAAAGCATGCTTAATATTCGGTTACTTCACGAAGAAAATGTGAAGCTCGGCAAACATGGTGATGAGGATACCGCCATAGAGGGTGCAGATCGTCCACACATCTGCTCAGGTAAACCTCAACACAGTTTATCTGTTTACGCACTGTGGGAGAGCCTCAGCCTGATCGTTGTGTTTAACCAGGTACGTATTAACCTGTGCTAACCCTCGGCATACCCGACATTCTCTGTGCACGTCACCTAACAGGAAGTCATCCGCAGTGATGGCGGTTACGTCCTTCTGCGGCTGACACACTTCTTTAAAGGACTTTTTAATGCTAATGCAGATGTGCTGATGCTCTGACACCATCACCATCCACACCCACCCGTGATCTGAGACATGTGATCTACATTTACACAATTTCACGTGTTAGCTCGAATGATGGTGTTTCAGTGATGTCACTGGGTTAGGGATGACTCCATCTTCTCTGAGTGGATGTCTGACTCCACAGGTGAGCAACCGCAATAGATTGGACAAAGGGTGAAATATGTTTAACAGCCCCTGAAGGAGAAACTGAAGAGACATCAGAGACTCGTTGAAGCTGTTATTTTACACTCTATGCTTCACGCGTCTACAGTATCAATTACATCTGGACTTCATTTATCACCGCGAGCACGTCTCTCCACGTCTCTCGGCTTTTGCCTTCCACAGAACTGTCAGTACCTCAAACATGAAGCTGGACTGAGATGAAATAGGATTTAAAAATCACTATTATTATTACTCACAGTTCCTTCCAATCCATTATCTGCTCAAACTTCTTGATCTTAAAGAGGAACTGGGACCAAGCTTCTTCTCGTCCTCATTCACCATTGTAAAGACCCAGATCTATTCAAACAAAGTGTTAAAACCACAGCTGTAAAGGAGGGACACCCGGGCCGCATCATCAAGGCTGACCTATGAAGCCTTCTCCAGAAAATAGATCCAGTGTCAAACCAAGCGCACCCAGAAATCTACCCATGATGGGCGGACACTCAGCTGATCAAGGAAAAACGCTGATGGTGGTCCATATCCATATAGTCCATTTTCACTGTCTCAGGTTTACCAGATGTTTATCCAGATGTGTCCTCTTTTAAAGCACTTAAGGTTCTTCTTTTGTTGTCCTTCTGCATTCAGCTGTAAACATCCACGAGTGTAGCGTTTCGTAAATTCTACAGGTAGAACAGGTGCCTCAAAGTCCTCCAAGGTTTCTCTTCATTTTCATGCTCCCAACAAAATGGCTTTTCATCCACCAGTTTGACTTTCCATCCCCCTTGAACTCCAATAAACCGCTCTTTAAAGCGAGAATCATTTTACTTTTGCAACAGGAGAACACTGTCCATGCATCCAGACAATGATGATAACATGATGTCCAACATGGTTTTTCCTAAACTCGCAGAGTTTCTTGGTTCGTCAATCACAGCATCAACAGTGTGTCTGTCCTTTCAGAGGGATTAAACATTTTAACAAGTTCATTTTCATTTTCAACATCTGGTTTTTACCAAATCCATAAAGAAGTTTAGGGGTTGAACCTAAAAGATCTTTAAAACTACCAAAGTGCTGCGGAGGGATCCCAAACTTCTGCTAATCCTAAAGCATTCAGTTGAGTACATCAGACTTATCACCATGTTCAGCTTTCAGCAGATTATTATTCCTACTCACTTCTGTCAAACAATAAAGATTCAGTCTGTCCTTCAATCAAAAATAAGACAGGAAACCAAAAAACCCCTTCAGGTTTTTCATGATTGTTCCCATTTAAGCAATAACTCACATCACATTCATTTCATGCGTGAATGAACATCCTTCTGTCTTTGCTCCCTTCACAGGTCCAAACATATCCTCAAACTCTCCCAACCCCGTCTCGCTGTCATCAATCCAATCATCCTCTGCTGAGTGATGTTCAGGTGATCAGAGTTTTCTCACTGAAGTCCAACAACATGTGCCGAGTTCCTGATCAAAAATACATCTAAAAATATCTGACAGTATTCATCTGTAAACCAGCACCTTGGCATCTCAACACGTTTCCCTCAGTTTGTTCCATATGGCTAAACTCCAAATCTATCTTTCCGTGTTTCGGACAGGAAGTGCAAATCTGATCACGGGACATTTTCATATTGGTTGGAGCAAAGTTCTGCAGAGACTCCTGGAGGATGAGTTCACTTTATTTTATGATTGTTATCAATCCACCTGCGATGGTGTGTACTCCACAAAGCTTTGCATCCCTCCATCCTTCCCTCCGTCCTCACGCCCTGCAGCCAATCTGTAGAACTCGCCTCACTCGGTCCCAAATGAAGAGCCTCAGCCGGCTTTCCTTCCTTCCACTCTTTCCTCGTACTGAATCATTCTTCCATCTTTCTGACCCTGCAGCAACTCATTCTCCACACTCTCACCTTCCTCTCCTTCTTCTTTTACCTTTCCTTCTTCATTATTTCCACCTCTCCTCCTCTCTCCTCTTGTCATCTCTCCTCTCCTACTCTCGCCTTATTTCTTCCTTTTCAAAGCTCCACTTCTTTAATTTCGCCTCCTTTCTTTTCTTCCCTCCTTCTCCCACCTCTCCTGCTCATCTCCTCTCTCTTCTCTCCCGTAGCTCCTCAGTCTGTTCCTGCAGTATCGCAATGCCACTCCTCTCCACCCCTCCCACCTCCCTCCTCCTCCTCCAACTCCAGGAGAGAGAGAGAGGGGTGAAAGGAAGTGGCATCAGCAGAGGAGGAATAAAGGACTGAAATAAGAGGTGGAAATAAACGAGTGAATGAGAGCGGGAGGATTCCTGCCTCTCCCTGCCGTTGTTGCTGGGAAACACTGGCAAAGCTCCAGCCTCCCTCCTTCCTCTTCCTCCCCTCCCTCCGTCCGTGGGTCCGTCTGCCTTGCTCACCTCACCTTCCCTCACTCTCCTCGCTCACCCCCTCTCTCTCTTTTCACTGCCCCGCCTTCTCGGTGTGTCGACACACAGCAGCTGTGAAACCACTGTTCACCCCACCACACGCGCGCACACACACACACACACACACACACACACACACACACACACACACACACACACACACACTTGATATGCTACATGAATACTTCATGAGATGACAGACACCCCCACTGCTGGACTTCAAAGACACTCAGCATGTGTGTATGTGTTCGAGTGAGTGTGTGTAGTGTAACCTCTCTGAGAACCTGCAGGCTGGGTCACTGATATGAAACCACAGACAGACTGAAGGAGAGCAAACAGGAGACTTCAGTCTGTGAGCTGCAATCACTGATCAATCAACACAAATTAATCCATTTCAATAATTAATAAAAAAGTAAATGGTTTTTTTAAGGACAAAGGAAAAAAACCCTTTCAGTTTAATGTGAATGGGATGTCCAGGTGTCCAACACTGCTTCTGTGCACATAGGCAGAATGTGTGTGTGTGTGTGTGTGTTGTTAGACATTGTGAAAAATGATGTACTATACAAAGTGGTGTGCACTTGATGTTTTGAGTCAAATGTGTTTGTGTGTGTTTTTTTGTGTGTGTGTGTGTGTTCCTGTCTGGCCATCTTTGTGAGGACCGAAATCTGCATTCTACTATAATTGTGAGAACCAACAGTCACTTGTGAGGACACACACGCCGGTCCTCACAAGTTTGAAGGCCTTTTTGAGGCTCAAAATGTGGTTTAATGTCAGGGTTACAATTAGGTTATGGTTAAGTTTAGGGTAAGGGTTATGGTTAGGCATTGATTTTTAATGGTTAATTAAAGGGCTAGGGAAACCATTATGTCAATGAAGGTCCTCGCTAAGATGGCTGAACGGGCTTGTGTGTGTGTGTCTGTGTGTGTGTGTGTGTGTGCACTAAAACTCTTTCTCATCAAATCTCATCACAATGTTATGCACACGTGCACGAGGCTTGTTCCAGCTTTATGAACGAACACCTGTGCAGACACACTGGAACTCTTCATTTGCAGGTAAAATGTGTATCTTGCAGAGTATGACATGGAAAAAAAAGCGACGATGAGAGTGAAGGATTGTGGGTATGTAACCATCAGAGAGATGTAATCTCTGGAGCGTGTCCGGGCTCTGCCCCCGGCCTCCTCCTGCTAGGACATGCCTGGAAGACCTCAGCTCCCTCCTTTCGACCCTTCTCTATGGGAAAGGAGTGCTCCCCTCAGCCTCCTGGTAGATCATAGATGTACATGCGGTAAGAGTTTGACAATCCTCAGTAATCGTGGTCACAAAGTCATGTGTCTGCCCAGCGGGATGACAGCAACTCCACACCAGCATTTTATGGCAGAGGGGTAAAAAACCCTCCATAATGTAGCCCAACGGTGGTGACACACCGTTCCGGTCCAAAGCTGGTTGGCTGTTTCCTGAGCAGGAAAGTACACAGAGTTCACTGTCAGAAGTGAACAAATCAGAGCTGAGGAAAGCAGCATGAGGAGCTCGGGTTCATTCAGCGCTGTCTGCAGGAGCTCAGCTGCTCTGAAATTATATTTATCATAACTCCCCTTCAGGTCATCTCAGGCCAGACAAACCTGCCAAAATGTGCCTGACAGCAGTTTTACTGTAGTTCCTACCTGCTGCTGCTCTCTGGGGACACGTTTGAATGCATGCCCAGGAAAACAAGCAACATGTGAGTGGAGAGATGATTATTGATCAGAGGAGGAGCTGGAGAGAGCTGTGTTATTGCTGCAGAGAGCGAGGAGAGGTATCAGAGCCACAGATCCATTTCCAGATCAATTCTCTGAAGCAGACGCCAATCGATAGGAGCAGCCCAAGGCCATCTGTCACAGTTAACCTGCAGGCAGGTAATGATCAGCTGTGGTCTTAGGTTCACTCACTGAACGATTAGACACAATTAAAAGAACCACGTCTGTGAGAGCGTGGAGCTAAAAGCTCAGAGGCTCCACCGCTCACCCTTCATATTTACAGTTTTTTTTTTTATCATTGACTGTTTGGTTTCATCTTCTCTGTCTGTCTCCAGGTGTGCATGTTAGATTGACATCACCTTCTGACCAATCACAATAACACAAAGTGGCTCTGTTTAGACCTGAAAGACCATGAATCACCCCCTACTGCTAATCAGTAACATCCAATCAAAACCCTAAAACTGAAGCTCCACATTCCTGTACACTCTACTACTACAGTAACCTAGTGGCAGCCATATTTTTGGTCACATGATGTCATTAAAATGCCTCAAAAGGCTCCAACATGTTCTAGACCTCCAGTTCAGGTGAAGCTAGCAGCTGCAGCCTGTGTCCACCTGTCAGTCACAGAGGCCACGCCCCTAATAATGCAAACTTTGGGCTTTATTCTAACATAAACAGGTGTCTTATGGTTTTATTATCGTTGTGATCCTGGTACCACCTTCGGTCTGACACATGGTTTGAACACGAGGACGTCCTTCTCAATGTTCTTTGTTCCAGAATCATCTGATGACTCTGTGATCAGACGTCCTCTGAGGCAGATGTTTGTCAGACCCAGGGCCCTGCTGTCAGTGTGTGGGTGCAAGCTCCTTCGGTCCAGCTTCTCCTCAGAGTGCTGCTCCAAACATCATCTCAGCCCTTGTTATCCTGGACAGCCGTCAGCAGCTCCACCTCTGCACCACCAGCTTTTATCTTCCTGCCATACGCCCTGCACTCCAGGCCGCTGAAGTCCGACTGTCTGACAGTGAGAGATAAACTCTGAAGGAATGATGTGACTTTGCTTCATGAGCTCAATCGCTTTGGCCCTTTGCCCAAACTCCCCAGTGGCTTTTTTTGAATTCAGTATGAATCATCAAATATTTGTGTCACGCAGTTATAAATAATACAACTCATAATTCATACCACTTCTCACTATGGCAAGACATAAACCTTGCTTAAACCCAGAGAGGTGCAGCAGTGGCTCATTTGGAAGACGCTCCAGAGAAAACTGAGGTTTCTGTCTTTTATCTGCTGCAGGAACAGGGACAACAGTGGGCAGAGCTTTTGTGATCAACCGTCACAGAATCACAAACAGTCGTGACTCGTGACAGCGATGACTTTAACGGGAATGAAATTGGCACAATCAGGATGGACTGCGGACAGTCTCGTGCACTCCATGTGAACCGCTGAACCACTGTTTGTTTCACACAGTTCACATGTGATGGGACACATGTTGAACCTGCAAAATGTCAGGATGTTCATAAAGTTTATTGACAGTAGAATGCAGAAAATATGATCTTTAATCAAATATGAACTCGTTTTCAATCTGAGGGCAGTGTCATTGTCTTCAACATCAGTCTGTGAGATGAGAGCAGCTGCTGCACTGTGAAACATTTAAAACATGTCAAACGGTTTCTCAATTTAGACATTTGACATGTTTTATAAGCTCTGTTGATAATAAATTATGAAATCTGGAAATCATCACCTTCTGTTTCTTTCAGTTTCACATTCATGATT